TATATATATATACATGGGCGCGAAAGAAGAGAAGGAGAAGAGGAAGAGGAGAGGAATAAAGGGGAGGAAAAGGGGAGAGTTTGGCGAGGCAAGGGGGACAAACGTACGGGGGAGAGTGGTAGCAAATGCTTAAAACGAAGATGGCTAGTGGGGCCCACCATTTTCGCCCGGGCGCACACGTACACACGTATAGGTGTGCGTTGGTGTGGGGAAATACACGTAACATATACCCAAGCAACCCCTGCGTCAGCCATCCATTTAGTTGAGGGTGGTGGGTGGACCGAGTGGGTGTAGGGGGAAAAAGGGGGAGGATAGAGGAGGAGGGCTGGGAGGTAGATGGAGATAGAGGAGGATGAGGAGGTAGAAAAGGGGGACCTAGTGGGTGCACCAGCGTCCCCCCTTCGTCCACCCCCATCCTCCCTCCTCCCTCCTCCCACCTCCCCCCCCAGGCAGATCGATACAACCCCCGTCTCCCACAACCCGCCCAACCACCCCCGCAACTTTACTTATTATACATTCCCACCCCAAATCCCCGCGTCTCATTATCTTTGTCATTGCGAAGGAAAAATCGAGAAAGCCCCGGAATAACATGTAACTCTATACGCGCGGCGAACGAAACAGAAGTGCATGCGTGCGTGCGTGCGCCTACGTGTGATGCGTATACATCGCGTGTCTCCTGAGAACGCGTTTTTTTTCCCCGTCCTTGGAGAACGTATTAATGTCCGACGGAATAAGCGGATTGCTTCGCTTAAAATCAACCACGCGCGAAATATTCGCACCTCGAGTGAGTGCGAGATTTCCGAAAGCGTCTTCTCGGGATCGATCAATCGATCGATTTAAGCAAAAATGCAAAAGAACGATTTTTTTCTTTCTTTTTTTTTTCGAGAAACTACTACTTCCTCTAATACAGATACATTTCTATAGATTCTTAACAATAAGCTCCCCCGAGTACAATCGTGTTACACGACGACGATCGCAAAGATAATTCTTTTCGGAAATTATTTCCTTTCTAATACAGAGATATATTTCTGTAGATTGCTCGTCACAATAGATTTTGCAAATCAAACTAACAATAAGTTCCCCTGAGTATAACTGTGTTATACGACGATCGCAAAGGTAGTTTATTTATTTTTTTTTTGAAAACTAGTTATTTCCCTTTTAATATAAATACATTTCTGTGGATTCTCGTCACAACAGTTTCTGCAAATCAAACTAATAATGAGCTCCCCGAGTACAGCCGTATTATACGACGACGATCGCAAAGGTAGAGTGAGACGCTTCGCGACTCTTCCTGTGCGAGTCACGGCACAACACACACGCATAGAAGTGCGCGTGGTGTAGCACGCGGTTCCCGATGTCTCTCGAATTTTCGTACCGCCTGTATCGCGAGAGGTGTCTCTCGTCAATAATGATTGCCAAAGCGGAGAAAATCGATATCGCTTGGAAATTGCGGGCAGAATCTTCCGTGCTGGGAGATGAAACCGTGCTCGCGGATGAAATTTTCCTCACCTATGAACGGTTATCGATCTGCCGTACGCCGGCAAGCGTTAAAACTAACTCGTCCTTCTCATACTTTATGGTAATTCAACGTCTCGCTCGTGTCGTCGCATTTTGCGTTCGCTCGAAAACCGCGATTTCGTCGGACCGTCGGGTTGGCTAAAAGATCATCTCCGAGGGATACGCGCGCGGGATTCCGCTCCTTTTCCACGTCGTATTAACGAAAGCAGGCATTCGTGCGTTGTTAGTAATACGTTAATATACAATTCGTAAATCCAGGACTGTGTTACAAAACGCTCATCGGAATAGATCTTCTCGAGGAAGCGTGTTTAGCTTACATCTAGAAAAAGGGAAGTATTATTTTCCTGGTATATGTGAAAAAAAAAACGTGCGCGCGTGAAGCGACGTAGAGAGAAAAATCGAAAAATAATTCTATACTAACGTGAGACTCTCTGACACACGGTCTTTCCATACCTTTACAAATATTTATGATAACACCGGTAGTTTGCGCGTGTAGACGTGTGCTACTTACATTGATGTTTGTCTGCTAGCATAACTAAGGTAGTCGGCAAATCCCTCCGCCTGAAGAAACACATGACTTTTGCTTCCACATTCCCGTTCGCGGTCTGAAAGAACGAAAAAATGAAAAGATTAATTCTCGAATCTTTACGTCGAGTCGTCTACCGCTGTAGCCTAGGTATATGCATACATCTGCATTATTAAGAGAATTTAAATACATTTAGATAGAAGAGACGAATATAAATAGCCGGTCGATCCTCATTATAATTTCTCGCTAAAATCGCAACAGCGCCGCTTTCAATACCTTACCTTATTTAATTCTTCTATCCTCCTAATCTGATACGGCGACGAGGTGGCAGTCTCAAAATACACGTAATCTAAAAAAAAAATAGCAATTATATCAACAATCTTAGTAACAAGTAGAGAAAAAGTGAAAAGCTACAAACTGTAAATTATCCTCTAAAATTATCGCGAAATCTACAAATTATATACTTCTCCCTTTTGAAAAGGTAAAGAAATTTTGATTACCTCGCGTCTAATATAATCGTCTTCTCTCGAAAATCTTAAGGATACGTTAGAAACACATGTGTCACCGACGAGAAGAGAGAGGAATTAGAAAATCTTTCTAGAATTTCTGATTTTCTCCGGAAAAATCTAGAGACGAAAAACGGAGGTGGAGATTTCGGTTGAATGCACGTTGCCGGTGATACAAAATAGAAAATCTTTCTAGAATTTTTGGTTTTCTCCGGAAAAATTTAGAGGCGAAAAAGCGGAGGCGGAGATTTCGGTTGAATGCACGCTGCCGCCGTTACCTGTTGGTGATACAAAATCGAAAAGCAAAGGAACAGCAGGGAACAGAGGAAAGGGGAAGGGGGAAGAGGAAAAGCGGTCATCGTCGAGATCTAGTGCGCGGCACTACCTCGTGTACGATGCAAAGAATACATTCGATACAACAAATAGTGACGGCTTCGAGCGGTAATCGCCAGGATCCAATTTTGATCCGCGAGATTTGTCGCGCAAGAAATTAGCGTGACCTGGACGTGAGAGAGAGAGAGAGAGAGAGAGAGAGAGAGAGAGAGAGAGAGGACGATTGCGCGGGGGAGGAAGGTGGCAGATGAAGAGCAAGGGGGACAGAGAAGAGAGACGGAAAGAGAATTACAGAGAAAAAGAGAGAGAGCGAAAAAGAGAGGAGGAGGAGGAGGAGGAGGAGGAGGAGGAGGAGGAGGAGGAAGAATGGAGGAGTTGGACGGGCGAGAAGGGGGGAGGAAAAGCCAGAGCGTAGGTATAGGACGTTACCGAAGGGGGGAAAGAGCGGCAAGGGGAGGAGGGGAGCCCGAGGGGTGGCGGAGAGTATGAGGGAGATCCAGATGAAGAGTGGAAAGAAGAGAGGGCGCGCGGGAAGCGGGGGTGAGCGGCAAAAGCGGGAGGGGAAGGGGGAAGAACGCGCCGCGCGCGGAGGGTATAGGGGACGCCATTGCGATGCCATTTGCAAACATTAATTTCTCGGAGTTAATTAAAGCCGCTATCTCTCTGTCTCGCTTCTTGTTTCGGATCTCTCTTTTTCTCTTTCTCTCTTCCTCTCTCTTTCTCAAATTCACGAGAACGAGATGGGAATGACGAGAACGATGATGTCGACGACGAGCGAACACCGTTAAAACCGTCGTCTTTCTCATCGAGATAATAGAGCCACGGAATGCATGCGGTTATACTTTACCTCCCACCCGGTACATGTTGGCCGTCATGTTGTTGGCGTCCTGCGTGGACCCGAGAGCGAAATTGGCGTTCTCGTGGTTACCGTGACCCTCGTGGTATTCGGCCGGCATCGGCATCAAGACTTCGTACGTCCTCCGCAACGTGTGTTACAATCTCGCGGTCGCTGCCGCTGATCGCGGCACTCGCACCTCTCTCTATCTAATTACCTCCGTCTCACTCACACTCTCTCCCTCTCCCTCTCTCTCTCTCTCTCTCTCTCTCTCTCTCGCTCTCACTCCGGCAGTTTTCCCGTGGACTCGGATCTATCTTCTCTTTTTCTCTCGCGCTCTCTCTATCTCTCCCGTCAACTGAATGATACGGTCAACATCTCACAGCATAGTCACTCCATAGTGTTTGTTTGCTCATCGTCGATCCGCTACTACCAAACTTTCGCTCCCGTCTGCCTCGCCAGTCACCAGTGCGTCCTCTGCCCGTCTGTCTCTGTCCCCCGAGGGTGGAGAGAGGGGGGAGGGGGTTTCGCTCTTTCTATTGCCTATCTCCGTCCTCTTCTATTTCTCCCTCTTTCCTCTTTGTCTCTTTCGCTCCTTTAATCCCACCCTCCCTCCAGCCTGCCTGCGGAGTCCTGCGGGGGTTCGCACGGTGTCTCTCTGTCTCTCTCTCTTTCAAACCAGAGTACTACGTGCGTGCTTACCGTCAAACTGTTATTCACAACACTCTACCACAGGTATAACGTTCCGCTGTTCAAGTTCGGTTCGTTCCGTTTTCAACGACACGCTACCCGACGAACAAACGAACGTGCGTGTCGTGCGTGACACGCAACAACTGGAGGGCGGGAAAATCTCCCGTACGCGGTGCGTACAGTCGGCGATTTACGCGACTGTCGACTCACGTGCGGTCGCGGATGTTCCCCCCCCGAGAGTGCCGAGGGCTAACAACGTCGGCGACGACCACCGCTATTGCCGCTCGTATCACCGAGACCGACATCGCCCGCCATTTTCGTGTCGGCGAGCGCGAGCCGCTAACGCGGATGAAGGCTGCACCGAAGTGCCCCGGCCACCCGACCCGAACGAATGAACAAACACCACGCACTTGTGAATTCGTTCGTGAATATCACTCACCCGTTCACTCTCGAGCGGTGTTACACCGTTCGCCGCGTCGCTTAACGCGTCCTTCAGGCCAACTCGCGGCTTTGCGAGTCGCGAGAAGCCAACACACTCCGGCCCGAGTAACGGAGAAATAACCGATGGCCGAATGGCGAACCAGGCGAACGCCTCAAAGCGGAGCACGACAGCGCTGTTGTAGAGATCGCGTGAAACAGAACGTATCGTCTAGGGATTTTTTCTAATCTAATTGTGTTTTCCACTAAGATACTAGTTTGAAACATTAGGTGCATTCAGAAACGACGACTGTTCACTGAGCTCATTGAGCAAATAAAGGATCATTCTATTATTAATATATTTATTTATTATAATTTATTTATAATTAATAATTATAAATATAAGATGAAGCGATTTAAAATTACGCTCCACCATTCACTGAGCGCTACATAACCTTACGGCCTAAACACGGCATTAGAGAAATAATGAACAGTAATAAGTAAGAAAGATGATATTAAAGATTATCTATAGTAGATAAAATTATTCTACCTTACGAATTATTAAATAAATAATAATAGAGTAATCCCTTTTTTGCTCAGTGAGTGCTGCACTCACTGGGCAATTGAATGTAAATTGGTTTACGTATTTCAGTGTGTTAATAAATAATTGAATTCTTTCAAGATGATGAGATTGTTGCGATGATAAAAAATACTTAATTGAAAGGATTAAATTATTTATTAATACTGAAAATAGGTGAATTGATTTGTGTTTTCCATTGCTCTCTATGTTGCACTAGTTTTCCCAATGGAAGACTCTACAAGTTTATTCTGTGGACAACTGTTTGTGATTGATCCGCCATCTTTGTTCAATTCGCGCCAGTTTTCAAATTTTTCAAATTTCTATTTTCATTAAATATAAATATTATCTTTATAATAATTTTTAAACACATGTAAAAAATGCATGAAAAAAATTTATTTCCATATAAATGAAAATATAAATCTCTCTACATTGATTTTCTGTAAATAATTAATTTTAATATAAATGTAAATAATTATTACATAAATATTATTTTATTATGTTAAACCTAAAATATATATGTAATTAATTTTATATCCAATTAAATGGCCATAGTTATTTTTTTACCACGTTGCGATTGACATAGCCACTCACAGAAGCTGGAACCTTGGAATTTTTTCACTAGACCAACCAATCAGAATAAGATCTTATATTGAATTGGCAAATTGGCGCTGTGAACAATCAAAGATTACTAGTAGGAATGTGCAAGATTGAGTCAGGATCGGGACGAGATTTTGTAACTTTCGGGATTCCCAAGAATATTCGGATTTCCTGAGAATATTCGGGATTTCTAAAAATGTCAGAATTCAAGTAGAATATATCTGTTTTGTTGAATATGGTAGTTTTAGATTTTTGTTTTCTGTTGTTGAATTTCATTTTATAAAATTTTCTGTTTTATTATAAATCACAGCAGGCTCTTTTACCATAGAAAGACAGAAAAGTAAAAATATTGTATACTTCAGAGAAAATCCAGTACTAGAATACTAATATTATAGATTGATAGAAAAACAATATTAAAAGATTTTCCGATTACAATATCAGATATCGAAGATTCTCGAGAAATCCGAAATTTTTTCGGAAATCCCGAAATTTTCGCGTCCCAACCGCATCTTGCCATCTTGTTCCAAGCATCAGATTTCAGGAATTTGGGATCTGCACACTTTTAACTACTAAATACTTTCATATTGTAATGTAATAAACAACTATATGTTTTAATCCATTATTTGTTAGCAATTTATAGTTAAATTAAACTTCTCTTTCTATTTATTTTTGTAATATAATATAACAACTGAAGAATATACATTATATATATATATATATACACAAATATATTATACATGTAATAATTTTTTATTAATATTTAAAAAGGAGTGACTTTTAAAAAAAGACTTTACTGATCCTTATTTTAAAATGAGTTTGTTATGATAAGATAATCCAGTGGTGATTACCGTATTTAAAATAAAAGGTGACGATTTTTTAAAAATAAATATGTTAAACAAGAACTCTCTCTCTCTCTTTAAAAGAGACAAACTAAATCTGGATTAATGTTCGTTCAATACGAACGGAGGTGTGCAATAAAATTTTAACAAATAAATTTGTTACTCCATACGAAGTATTGATGTCATCTTTATTTAAAATCTTGAGAAATTTTGAACATTTCTCTTTGGAATCTTCATCAGCAATCTTCTTAATCCATATTAGATTCGCGTTCTTCTAATATGGATTAAGAACTGATGAAGATTCCAAAGAGAATCGAAATGTTTCAAAATTTCTCAAGATTTTAAATAAAGATGACATCAACATTTTGTATGGAGTAACAAATTTATTTGTTAAAATTTTATTGCATACTTCCGCTCGCGGTGACTCTCATTAGCCCAGATTTTAGTTTGTTTTTGTTGTTTTTTTTAAATCGCCGCAATATATCAGGTTCTATCGTGATTCGCTTTTATAAAAAAAAATATGAATAGATATATATTGCTGCTTAAACGGATTGAATCAATTGTTCGAATAATTGTTGCGATTGTAATAAGTAATATAAATAACAATGAATATAATGTATAATTGTATAAACAACTTCTATGAAACATTGAACAGTATAATAATTACTGTTAAAAGAGAATATTCTAGGTTTCAGATTGTAGAGAGATCATGGAGAATGAAATAATGTTTGTGCGTAGTATATGAAATATTTATATTTACGAAATTAGTCTTTTTCTATACAATTGCTAATGCGCAGTCACATATTTCTTCATTTTGTCGGAATCGCTAAAGAGAATTGCGTACGCGTTGAACAATTAAAATTACTCATTTGTTTGTAGAACCTGTGCGAGCTTGCCTTGCTTCCTCGTGAAATGTTTTTCGATGCGCCTGACTAATAATAAATAGAGCAACGAATAAATGTCGATTTGATGAAAATACACGTAACACAAAGATATATTTATTATATACATAATATATATAGTGCCTCCTTTTATAATAATACACATCCGCAAGAACGTTTATAATTTAATTTCATGGAATTTCGTTAATTATGTATTATATCTGTAAGGCACACCCCACGGTCGTTACCAAAGTAATTTTGTGTCCTCTCTCTATCTCCCTCCTCTCTCTCTCTCTCTCTCTCTCTCTCGTATTTTTTGCGTTATATATAATATCATATAAATAACTGTATACCATTGTGGATATATTCTATTAGAGCCTAAATTTATTATGCATTTCTATCTTTAAGAATAATTAATGCGCTAGAGATATAGAGGCAATAATCTGTTCTGTACATAATCTTATGTCTTTCTTATCGATTCCTTTAAGATAATGTACCATTTTTTTTTCATTAATGATAATAATGATAGTAACGTTATAAGAATAATGGGAAAATGCATAAATGAGATGTACAGGATGAGACCTGCTTGTGCACAGGTTTGTGTGCTCACCCATCCTCATCGCGATATACAAAATATGAGTAGTAATGTCGAAAATACAAACTCATAAAATGATTCATTCGATTGCTAATACACATTCCCGCGTTGACTAATAAGGATTTACGATCGTCTTAAAAAAAAAAACCGCGCGTATCGATTCTTTCATTTTTTTTTCTTTCTTTTCTAGAAAGCTTTTCACGCTTTACTTGCAGGTCGCGTATAATAAAAATATGTGTAACATGTATACACACTTATAATTGCATTTTTTATCCATAACGTTTTTTTGTATATTACCACTCATGACTTTTTCTTTTTGAATCTTGTATTTAATATTAATATAAAATACCTATGCCGCCATTGACAAAAATTTATGCATTTGTATATACAAGTATAGCTCTCCCAAAATCCAACTATCTGGCTTTATCTGTATCTCACTCTTTCTCTCTCTCTCTCTCTCTCTCTCTCTCTCTCTCTCTCTCTCTCTCTCTCTCTCTCTTTCTCTACTTACTAAGATACTATTGTTTTATGAATAAAAAAATACTAATATATATCGCATTGTCGTTGCACGGGCAGTGTTTGCGTAGTGTTTTGTCCACTCGTAAGGCACCAACTCTATTGGGATCCTGAGATTCAACCCGCATGCTTCGACAAATTCAGAGGCATGTCTGCAAACGAAAAATAGAGTCATAAACATTTTCGAATGACCTAATTGTCCCGATATTTATTTTGTTTATGATACATAAATGATATATACCTGAAGGAGGTGTGAGAGTTTGTTCCCTGTAATCTTTGTAATGTGGGGACAACGGATGAGAATGCGGCGATGCGTATAATTGCATAGGAGGCGGATAGTGGACGGGAGATGGATAATGAGGCGCCATCCATAAAGGCGCCGCTCTGTACGGTCCAGGTGGTAACATTGGTATCCCGTAGAGAGGATGATGAACGGATGTATTGCTGGATCCGATGTAGGGATCGATTCGTACCCTCGGATAGGCGTTAGTCGATGAGTATTTCACAGGCTGCCGGTCGTCCGGCTTCAACAATGTCCTCAAGAAACCTGGTTCGGGATTCGGTTTGTCCTCCCCCAGGATACTCGTTATACTGTATGATGACACTTGCTTCGAAGAGGGAGTCGGCGGCGCACTCGTTGTGCAAACCGGCTGTGGAGTGGCCCGTCTCTTGGACGCCTGATCCTCCAGCGAAACTCTCTCCAGCTCTCGCAATATACGTTTGCGAGGTGACACTACATTAGGATCCAGCAGGCGCGCCAATTTATCGATGATCAGACTAAGAACCTTGCCCGACGACGTACCATTCAATTTCCGTGACAATCTCGTCGAATTAACCGTTGATTCCGGAACTGAGACCACAGTCGTGGAATCTAATGGGCGTCTGCGTTTCCTCGCTATCAAGCGAAGATGTGCGCACAAACGAATCTTCGGATTTCGACGATAATAAAAATTAAATTCCGTGGTTATCCTGCGTCGAGGATGGGTTTGCTTCCAGCAGTGATCTCTCTGCCAAGGACTGGATTGGACTGACGAATTGTCATCAGAAACTGAAAACAGAATGCAGAGTATATGTTATGTATGAGTTATCTGGATTGATTGTATTGCCTATACTTTTTATAACAATAATGCAA